AAAAAAAAAAAAAAAATCCTTCAAATGACATCTTCTGAGCCTGGGCATGTCAATATTTGTTAAGTTGTCCAGAGAGCTGGGTGCGAGATATCCCGTTACTTGTTGCACACAGTGTTTTGTCCGCAGGAAAGGACGCAGAACACTCCTCCCCTTTGCTGCCTGCTGCCTCCAACCCACACACCCCCTGACCGCAAGCGAGGTGCTGCCTGACTCCTCAAGAGAAAAGAAAAGCCAACTGGGTTTCTAACTCAATGTGCTGTGATTTTTGCCTCTTTTTAAGAGAAAAAATTAGAGCTGGAACTGTTATTTTTTTTCTCTTAAAAAAGGGCAAAAATCAAAGTAAAACAGAGTTTCAAAACAGGTTAGTAGGAGAGTTATAATAATCAATACATTGTGTATTGCTGTCTTCCTAGTAGTTACTCAGAATAACAGGAATGGGCATGATATCTTGTCCCAACAATATTAGCACAAACCTTTCTTTTCAATGAACTAGGAGAAACTAGCTGTATAACTGTCTAAATTATCTTGTGTATATGTATATTTTTCTTTTTCCCTTTCTTGCTTTCCTCTTTCCCAATCAGTTTGTATTTTTTTTTTAACAGTTTCTTCCCAATTCACCGTATCTATTGTACATTTTGGATCTTATTTAGTCATTCAGTTTCTCACACTAGGGAGACAATTTGATGTTTACACATGCAGGTCTGGTTTATTTCACTTATGAGTATAGTCTCAAGTTGCATCCATTCATCTATAAACGTCTCCAGGTTATCCTTCTTTATGGCTGAATAATACCCCATTGTATAAAAGGACCATGTGGAGAGGACATTCTCTGGACGTTCTGCCTCAGGCCTGACTGAGCCGCGGTTGTTGGGTTCTGGAGGAAGTCTAGCAAAAGCATTGTTGGCCCTGGGACAATGCTAGATGCTTTTCTGAGATATGCCCTAAGGAAGACAACAGGATGGCTTACTGGTCAAGTCTCATTGCTATGATAATGGAGTTGTATTGGCCTTGCAAAAACGGTTGAGATCGCCTGAATTCCGGGGCTGCCTCCTTTGTTCTCACTGAATAAACGGTTACTGGAGATGGTGGTCGGGGCTTGAGTCCGGAAGGTGACTAGCCCCCTGAGCCCAGATACATGGCTCTGGGGTTGTTCTTTGGACGAGGGGATTAATACATCCGTGGGCACCTTGTTCTGGGGACCTGTTCGCCCTGGACAGGGATGGATGAGTAATCCAACAAGACCACATCTTTTTAGTCTGTTCCTGAGTTCATAGGGATTTTTGTCTTTTGCCAGTGCCTATGAATGCAGTTTTTGGCACAAATGTGCCGTATTCAGAAGAGTGAATGTACATTTAAAATTTGCATATCACCAAAAACAAATTTCACACTATAGGAAAGAAGTTAAACAGACACCCAACTCTGGTAAATTGAGTATTCACGGGAACGTGTCCTGGTGTTTGCAACTGGCAATAGGGAAGCAATAGGATGAATCGTGGGTGAGAGGAGGGAAGGACAGACAGATACTGGCACAGTTTATAAAATGGGGCAGGGTGTGGTGCTGCACAGCTGTAAGCCCAGCACTCCGGGAGGCTGAGGCAGGCAGGTCACAAGTTCATACCTGGCCTGGTCAATTTAGCAACTTAGTGAGGCATTGGCTTAAAACAAAACAAAACAAAACAAAAAACTTAAAAAGGGTTGGGATGTAGCTCAGTGAAAAGTCCTGGGTTGAATCCCTAGTTCTGAGAACAAAGGACTGGGGGACGGAACCACCTAGGGTATATAGGTGCTCACTGTGAAATTCTTTCACCCTGGTATATTTGATTTTTTTTTTTTTTTTGGTTTTTTTTTTTTTTGGTTTTTCTCCGGTACCGGGAACCGAACTCACGACCTTGCGCTTGCCAGGCAGGCGCTTTTGCCGCTGAGCTAAATCCCCAGCCCTCACCCTGGTATATTTGAGATTGTTCAAAATATAGCGATCCAGTTTCCACCACAATTACTGTTGTCACAGTTTCCCACTTAGGGACCCTGGACACACACTCGTCCTGTGCTTTCCTGGGTGGGAATGTTAGGGATCTGACCCTGACGACCTTGACCGAGGCTGCTGTCTGCTCAGCCTGTCTGAGGTCACACCCCTTGGAGACAGGCAGGGCGGGGTGTGCAGGAGGTCGGTGCGGGTGGGTATTGGTCCCACAGAGAGGCCTGGTGGCGGCTTCTCCGGGGTGTCTGTCCATGTCCCTGCCCGGAGAGGGCCACACGGAAGAAAACAAAGGTGTCCCAGCAGCTGAACTTGGCTGGGTGCGCCGAGGGGGCGGGTGGAACAAGGGACAGATACGGGCAGGGACAGAGCACAGTCCAGGCGGTGGGAGGCGAGGCCCTCAGGTGCGTCAGGGTTGGACGCGCTCGTGGAGGAGCAGAGGCGCCGCCTGGACCTGCACCGCCCCGCGCGGTCCCCAGCATGGTCAGAGGGTGGCCCAGCAACGGCCGCGCTGCGTGAACCGTGACTGGGGCGCCTGGGAAAGGCAGAGCGGAGAGACAGAGGCCAGGTGTGGTCGCCCAGAGCGGGACCGGACCAGGGAGACCGCTAGGGCATGAGGGGCTTATAGGGGTGGTGGAAACGCTCTCAGATGGGACTGTGGCGATGTTTGCATAACTTTGTAAATGCAGTTAAAAAAATCTTCGAATTATGCATTTCAAGTGGCTAGATTTTATAGCATTTAAATTTTACCTGAATAAAGCTGTTGGCATCTGGTTGTGGTGGCATACACCTATAATCCCAGCACTGGGGAGGCTGAGGCAGGAGGATTGCTGTGAGCTCAAGACCAGCCCGGGCTACGCAGTGAGTTCAGGGTCAGCCTGGACTACATAGCAAGACCTTGTTCAGATAGATAGACAGGTGATAGATAGATAGATAGATAGATAGATAGACAGACAGATAACGGGAGTAGCTGGCAGCCCTCCATCAGATACATTTGTTACCTCGTGCCTCACGGGTGATTTCTTGGCTCTCCAAAGCGTAGATGTAGTGACAGAGAATCATCCAAACCCGAGCAGACTGGAAGAGCTGGGTGCCAGGACACTGTAAGAAACGGACTTTTCAGATCAGCGCTAATCGAGAGCAGCGCGGCGCAGGGCCCAGGACGAGCGCATCCAGGAAGCAGCGGCCGGCGGGCAGCTTCCAGGCCAGAGACCTCACTGACCGCTTCTGTTCGCAAGGGCGCTGGCTCAGGAGCCTCGACTGCATGAGGAGACACGCGAGGGATTTCCATTCCTCGGCTCCTACTCGGGCTTCCGCTGCGGGGGACGCAGAGCGTGGGCGGAGCTTCGTGTAACCACGGTTACCGATTTGCTTCCAGCAGGTAATAAAAGTGGGCAGGATGCTGCATGACTGGTTACACTGGGCCGGACGAAGTCATCAATTTTAGTCAAACTTTCTTTTAAACCTAGCCCAGAAATTTCTCTGGCATTGGACATCTCTTAGCAGTTCAACTTTTTCTTTCTTTCTTTCTTTCTTTCTTTCTTTCTTTCTTTCTTTCTTTCTTTTTTTCCTTTTTTGGGTCAGGGTCTTGCTGTGCAGTTCAGTCTGGCCTTGAGCTCACGGCGATCCTCCTGCCTCAGCCTCTTGGGTGCCAGGATTACAGGTGTGTGCCTCCACACCCAGCTGAGAGCCCAGTTTTTTATATCATCTTTTCTCTCCACACTTTTACAAGCAGTTTTTCTGAGGCTGTACTTTAGTAACTGCCCACAAAGCAAAGCCAACAGATGACAACCAGTTGAAGGTGGGCTTCCTGCAGTGCTATCCTAGGGGTGTCCCAGGGTCAGAATGAAACCTATTAAAATTATAGCACCCTCGAGGAGATCAATGGAAAATGCCACTGATTTTTCCTGTAGACAGGAGTGACTCCATTGGTGATCTCTACCCTTAATTTTTCTGAACTTTAGGATTATTCTAAAATAAAATGGTATTATTTGACTTGTAGGTGTTTTAGTTTGCTTGATTATGCTAAATAATGCACAGGTATATTCTACCCGTAAAAGGTGAAGCCCCCACCGTTGCTACCCCTGCACGGTCACCCCGTGCAAAGCCCCTCCAGTCGGAAAGAAGACAACTCCATGGAGACACAGGCAAAGAATATGAGCTGGCAGTTCGCATCAACTCCAGCCTCTGCGCGCTGCGCGCCACTGCTGTGCCAGTTAAGTGCGCGCTACTGTAGCTTGGGTCTGAAGTGGCTCCAAAGTCCTGGGCTGAAGGCTTGGTCCCCAGCCTGGCACTGTTGGGAAGTAGGGGAGCCTTTAGGAGGTGAGGCCAGTGTGCAGTTAGGTGATGGGAGCTGTGCTTCTGAAGGGGACTCGGACTGCAGCACCTTCCTTCCTCCTTCTTTTGCTTCCTGACTACTACCTTAAGGTGAGCAGCTCTTCCGCCGCATCTTCTGCTGCCATGGCGGATGGCCTTGCTGTGGGCTCAGAAGGAACACGGCCAACTGACTATGGATGGAAACCTCCAAAACCACAAGCCAAAATAAACCTTTCCTCCTTTTCAGCTGATGATCTCAGTTATATTTGTCACAGTGATGAAAAGACAACACATGCATTCTGCTAATTCTTCAGACTCAAGTAGTTTTTGTGGTATTGTATGTTTTCATTATATTAGATATAGTGGTCCTTGTTCACTTTTTTATATGTTCATTGTTTTACATGTGTTCCTAGTTCTTTTTAATGCCTGCACAGTACTCTAGCACTGTAGCTTATTCATAGTTCTCGCATTGATGGGCAATTTGATTTTCCAGTTCATTGAGCACCCTTCATAGATGCAGACTCATACACATGAACGCTTCTCAGGAGGGGTTCCTAGAGGTGGGATTGGTGGTTCAAAGGATATTTGCACTTTTAGTTTCCATAGATACTGCCATATCACTCTTCAGATAAGCTGACCCATTGATACTCCAATAGGTTATGACTGACCAGTTCTTATGCAAGTCCAGAATATTATCTATTTTAAAAACTTTGCCAGTCTGAAGGGCAGAAAATGTCCCATATGCTGAATGATGGTGAAGTTAGGGATATCATATTACATTTATTGATCATGAATGTTTCTCTTATGAATTGCTCACTCATGTTCTTTACCTATATTTCCATAAAGTTGTCTTCTTATTGATCTGGAGGGGTATTTTGTATATTATGAACACATCTTTTGTCCATATGACATGTTAAAAATACATTCTACTGGTAACTTTCATGACTTTAATTTATGATGTTTGTCATACAAAAAATTTTTTATGTCTACACAGATAAATCTGCTTTTTCTGTATGACTTCTGAGTTTTGATTCATGTTTAGTAAATCTTTCCTATAGGGGATTGTAAAAGCATCACCTTGCATTTACTTCCAGTTCTTTTATACTTTTCTAAAAATTAAAGCTTCATTTAACTTGCAAATTTTTGTTTTTTCTATAGAACAAGATAGGGTGCTAACTTTACTTTTTTCTGACTGTTCCAACACTATTGTGGAATGATAACTCTTCCTTTGCTCAATGAAAATACCACTTAAAAATCAAATCAGGACCATTTTCATTGCATTTTTCTATGTGGTTATTATGGATGTGAAAGAAATACAATGTTTATTTAACTTATAATTTTTAAACATTCTGGGGCCGGGGATGTAGCTCAGTGGCACAAGCACCTGCCTGGCAAGCTCAGGGTCCTGAGTTTGATTCCTGGTATCCACAAAAAAAATTTTTTTAAAGAAATAATTCAGTCCTTGTTGTGGCTTGTGTCTAGATGTTCCTCCCAAAACCTCCTATGGTCACAGCTTTTCAGAGATGGCTGGATCTATAGTCTGTGATGCAGGGATCAAGTATATGATGTTGGGACCAAGGGTGTGTGATTACTAAATTAGTCACTGACTGGGCATAGTTTTGGGAGTAGACAATGGGAAGGCCCGCCCTGGGTGTGAGTGCTACCCACTCTGACACTTGCTGCTTGCTGTTTCGGTAGTTTGCTCCCTTCCTGCCTTCTGCCCACCATGAACTGTTCTCTTCTGCTATGCCCTCTGCCATGCCACCCTGCCTGGAAGGCAGCCAGCTATGAGCTGACACCTCTACAAACTGTGAACCGCAATAAATCTTTCCTCCTTTAGCTTTGTGGGCTATTTTACCTCAGCAGTGAGAAAAGTACTAAGACACTCCTTTTTTTTAACGTGAAATAGGAAACAAACGTTTCACTTGCACGGCCATAGAATGACAGGCATTGTTTCCAGCAATGTCTATGCAAAGGTCCTACAAAAAGAGTATGTGATGGTTGTAAGGCATTTTTCTAAGAGGAAATGAGTGCTTTGATATTCAGGGTGTGGTCCTCACACCAGCAGCATTTGCATAATCTGAGGTTATTAGATTCTAGTTTTTCAAATCTTCCCCCAGAGCCACTGCAATAGAATTTGCAGTTTAACAAGATTCCCAGGCAATCCATGTGCATACTAAACTCCCTGATGTATTGACTATCACTGCTTTTGCTTTCCTGGTGATTGTGACCCTTTCCTTTGTTAGGAGCACCTGGAGTTTGCTTTACTGAAATGCGCTTTGAATTGCAGATGGCGTGCTGTCAACGGAAGTACCTTTCCCTGACCTTGCTAAGGGGTGAACATTTGACCTGTGTTCAGCAAATAAAACCTGTCTCCTTGAAACTTTTGCTAAAAACACCAAAATGATTATAGTTACTTATTTCAATGCTCAAACAAAAGCAAAGCAAGGCAAGAACCCTACACTTCAGATCTGGCTCTGCGGGGCTGCTTGATTTCTTCCCTTTCTTTTGACTCTGTGAACTATACCATGTAATTGCAATCAATTCCAGTATTACTTTAATTAACCATGGTTGGGGTCTTTGGCCTACAAAGAACCCTGACCAACACTCAGGGTGGGATGTTCCAATACATGGAACTGACTGGGTCAAGGCAAGGCAAGGGACTCTCTCATCCTTCCCTGGAAAGGGAGGGAGTCCTGCAGCAGGACTGGGAAGCTCGTGACTAGAGAGAACTTTGAAAGCTGCTGTCTCTCCACGTGCCTGCTAGGGCCAGAGCTTCAGGGGACCTGATGAAAGCATGACAAGTCCTGGCTACTGTGGGGTCTTTAAGATAAAGTGTCTACCTCATTGCTTTTGAGATCACCCCCTACCCAGGGATTGGTAGAGCACACCTCTGGGTGTGTCTGGTTTTGTCATGGAGGTTGGCCTTGGGGTCTATGTCTGATGCCTGGCCTCTTCCTCTCTGACACTCTTTCCCTGCTCTGCTTCCCTGGAAGCCGTGAACTAAGGAACTTTGTTCCCCAGTACCCTCTGCCATGATGTTCCTGTGTTGGAGCCAGCTTACCATGGACCGAATCTCCAGGAACTGTGAATCATATTTGGCCTCTAGTTCTTTAAATTGTATTGTGTTGGGTATTGTGTCCAGTGACAGGAAGCTGACCAATTCAGCTACTTCTTGTGGTGGTTAGGATAATTTACAAATAGGAGACAAGCTTTAGAATAACAAAGCAAAGGAAATAATGCTTTTCAAGAGAGAAAATTTTCTGCAGGGACCAATAAGCCAACAAGCCTAAAAACCAGGTAACCATGCAACTTTAAGATTTGGAAAAACTGGATAATCTATCTCAACCTAAAATCAGTGTAAATTCAAGTACAGGTAGGACGCTGGAAGCAAAAAAAGAGATAGACTTGGGATGAAGTTGGAGCAGACCCTGATATCCAGGGACCTCCTAAACTTGTACTTCCTGCCAGGCTGAAGAAAAGCATGAGAGGTGCTATTGTAAACCACAGTCCTCCAGGATCCCTTTGGTCAAGGGAGAAAATAGTCATCATGTTAGAGGCCAAAATGATGGTGATTAAGCCAAGGGCTTGGAGGATGGGGGCATATAGGGCAAATCCACCAAACCTAGGTCAAAATGTGCAGGTCCATGACCATGACCAAGCTCACAGCAGGGAAGAAAAGGGAAGGGAAGGGAAGGGAAGGGAAGGGAAGGGAAGGGAAGGGAAG